GACGAAATGCCATTGTCACAACACGAAACCACTATATTATGATGAGCATTACATTTTGTCAACACGGCGAGGGATTATGGTTCTCTATTGTGACAAATCAAATTATCATTTAAACAATTTAGGAAGACATAATATGACAAAAGATACTTTGACGATAAAATTTGTCACTTTATGTCTTATACATCCTGACATGGGTCACCTATTTTGACAAACCATATGGTGACACACAAAGTTGGTCACATTAACCACTTAAATTGACAAAGTATTCCGACAAACATACATTTGTCACATTAGGCTTACCAAATATGACATATACAATTTTGTCATATTATTGCATCTATTGAGACAAATGAAAAATGACAAAAAAATATTTTGTCCTAATTGGCCGAATTTGTTGTAGTGTTGAGACTTCCAAAAGTCTCTTTGCTCCAACTCATTGGTTTAGTTTCGCACTCTTTTATCTCGTCCATGACTAAGCCGTTTCTAGCTTTCTTCCACCCCTCTTCCACCACTAGTTTTATCTCCTAATGGTTTGGCCAGTAGGCTTCGTACATGAAAAAGAGCCCCATTTAATCTTTGGCTCACTTAGTTGATTTTACAGAAACAAGGGATTGTGATCAGAACCACATCGGTTCAGGTGATACATCCGAGCATGGGGATAAAGATTCGTATAGGTAGTAGTTGCCACCATCCTTTCAACCCTTTCTTCCTAAAAAGTATCATCTTTATGATTATTATTCCACGTAAATCTTCTTCCGTAGAAACCTAAATCTTCCAGGCTGCACTCCTCCAAAGCTTTATTGAAACCCTCTATTTCATGTTCATCAGTTTCGTGTTTCCTGTTCTTCTCTGCATAACATTGTACCAGGTTAAAATCCCCTGTAACCAGCCAAGGTAAATCAACCAGGTCACGTAGCTGTCTAAGACAATTCCAAGTACGATGTTTGTTGCTTTATTCTGGCCAACCATACATGCTAGTTAGTCTCCATTCTATACCATTATCTAGAACTCTCATGTCTATATAGTTGTTTGAATAGCCCTTTATTTCCATCTGTACATCTGGTTTCCAAAAAACTATCAAATCACCTGCACTGCATGTCGATCCCACCCTAAAACCATCTTTCCAGCCCAACTTTCTCATAATTTTCATCCATTCATGCGCCATTCTTTTCTTCTCCATCAAGAAAGCTATTAGGGGATTTTATCTTTGCAATAAAGACCTAACCTTCTTAATTGTCGAGGGATTTCCCAATACTCAACAATTATAGCTTAAAAGATTCATTGAGCTGGGCGGCTTTGTCCCTTGACAGAGTCCGCCTGTTCGTCATCCAATGTTTGTTTGTTCCCCTACTGTTCCTTGTTTTGAATCCATGTGAAATATAATAGTTTTGCTTTTTTTGGTTGTTTTGGTACCTCCATCTCTATATCTATCTCCATCTCCCCACCCTGCATATCCATATTCCTCTTTTGTGGTGTGACCTGGGTCCCCATTGGAATCCTTTCTTTCTTCTGCTATTGCCGGCGCCAAACATTTTCCGTAGGTCTCCTTATTATCAGCACTGCCCCACTTCCCATTGTAAATTTTTTTTAGAGCTCCCACTTATATGTTGGCTCTCTTTTGATTCATTCCCATCTTTTGAGTTCTGTGAGCTTGCGAATCCACCTGCTTTGAGTACGGGTTTCCTTTTGTATTTATCTCAGGAGAGAGCTTCTCCACTTCCATTGCTATCCTTCCACCCTCTGAATATGCTTTCTTTCTATCTTTCTCAGTCTCCTCTCTTAGTGGAGGTAGCTCATTCTCTAAATTTGAGCCTATGCTTTCAATGCTAAACTTTTTCTTAAGGATTGCCCATATATTTCAACATCCTCTTTTTGGTCATATGTGATAACCAGTTTGTAGGTCCGGGGGCCCCTATTCTCATCTCCAGCCCAAACGGATCCACATTAAGATTTGATGGTATGGGGCATCGTAACTTAGGATGCCAATTCTGCCACAGGAATGACAGAAGAGTGGCATCTTTTGATACTTTAACCACATATTCCACTAGTTCCCCTCCAATATTCAAATTCAGTTTCTTTTGAGGATATTGTTGATTGAAAGGTTAACCCTAATCCCAAGATAATCATCCCACATCGTACTAGTGCTATTATCAAACCAGACTAGAGTGCCAAGTCGTGTTGCAATCTTCTCTGCCATATTTTGTGTTCTCAATTGTGCCAAAAAACCTCTAAAATCTGAACCCATAAATCTATCATATGTAGGTCTTCTGGCACTGATTTCTTGATCAAGTAACTTGACGCAAAGACAATGATGTTGTTCTCATAGTGCCATGCCCCCCATAGCAGGCTTTGTTGCTATCATCTATGTCCAGGAATTAAAAAGCGAAAAGCTTGTCTCCCAAGTCAGTGATTTGAAAACCTTCCTTGGGTTCCAAGCTTTCACCAAAGCGATCTTCAATGATTTGATATTGGGTTGTTTTTCAGCAACCAACCTTCTTATCAACCCCAGCCGACGAACAACTTCGTCCTCTTCCTCAATGGTGAACTGATCAAATTTTTCTAACAGATCTCCCGCTGAGCTGGGCGATTGATCACCAGTCTAAGTGGAAGTCACCGAAATTCCCTTCTCCATGCTCTCCACCATTGTACCACTGCCTTTGTATCCAAGTATGCCCCATCTTTTTAGCCCTGCTTCAGGAAACTTTTCCTCCAAAGAGACTATAAATAACCTTCCACCACACCTAGTAGCTCTGACAGACTTTATAGGATCTATACGCTAATCCAAAAGGTTTAGAAATCCAATCCTCGTCCTCCTGGAACACCAAAACCTAAAACTCATCGGAAAACCTTAGGGTTCCGCCGTAATGTCGCTTTCGCTAAATGAGAGAAAAAAGTCTTAGCATAATACAACATTGGAAAAGGTTAGGGTGGTAAAATTTTTTTTAGAATTGTGCTAACACTAGTTTCAACCAATTAAAATATTTCATTTGGATACATTTTAATTTAAATGAGTTGGCCACAATTAATGAGGGGATATCACATATGTGCATGCTAGTCATTAGTTAAAATTGGAAGAAGGGGCTTATGTATGTTTAATTTGGGGAAAGAGAGCATTAATTGGAGAATGGGGTGGTGGACTACCAAACACATGCACAACCTTACCACACCACAAACTTATGAAGCAAACGATAAGTCCATGAAGTACACCACAAGTAAGCATACCACAAGTTTATTAGAACATAACACAAATCTTATAAAACATGCAATTTTACAAAATAACACAAGTTTCTAAAGCATTCTACTAGTCTCACGAAGCATACCATAAGTATTATAACGTATACCACAACTTTATAAAAGGCTAAATTACACGTTTGATCACTCAAATTATATAAATTTTCCACGTTTGCCACCCGAATTATTTTTCTTCTTATTCGCCACTAACTTTACAAATTGTTTCACCGTTAGTCACCGGCCGTTACACTCCGTTAACTTTGTCCTACGTGGCAGTCAACTATAAAATTTGACCGTTAACTAGATGACGTGGAAATTAAAAAAATTTAAAAAATAAATTTATTTTCCACCTCATCATTTCAAATTTATCATATTAATTAATTAATAAAATTAATAAATGACAAAAAATAATATGATAATTAATTATTTTTTTATCATATTCTTGACGGACTATGGGAGGCGCCTTTCTAATTAATTAATTTATTATCATAATATGATAATTAATAAATGACACCCGATTTGGATTTGGATTTCCATTTCGATTTGGGTCTGACAGTTAGGGTTACACTGCCGGCGGCGCCTTTCTTAGCGGTGTCGGAGCCTGTTGTGGCGGAAATGATGAGGGGATCGACGCGATGGTAGAACTGCCACTTCGACGAAGGTGGTTTGGCCTTCTCGACTTTGTACTTCTTCTTCAGCGTGTCTATTCAGTTTTTGCACTGGATGTCGGTCTTCTTCGGCCGGCTGCTGCGCCGCGAGTTTACTTCGTCGGCGACTTCTTTCCAGGCCTTTGACGCTGACGTAGCGATCACCCCACGCCTCGATTAGCAACTCTGCAACGGCTGCGCTCCAGCAGTCTTCCCGACCACAACTGTTGCCGCCGCCGGTGGAAGATTGGGAGGTTGAGGGTTCCAATTTTTAAGAGGGGAAAAGAGAGTAGCAGAGAGATCAAGTATGCTAAATGGCACTGGGTTGCCGAAGCAAGCAAGCATGGGAGGCCAAGTTCCTTTGTCAACAGTAGCACTTTGGTGGAGTTGCCGTCGTGGCCGGGGATGGGGGAGAGGAGGTTGAGGAGGAAGAGGAGTAGCGGAGTGGGATGGTGGTGGTGAGGGTCATAATAAATAAATAAAAATTAATTATTTATGATATTATTTTTATTATTTATTAATTTTTCTTAAATACTTAAAATGATAAATTTGAAATGATGAGGAAAAACATAATAAATTTTTTTATTTTTTAAAATTTCCATGTCATCCACTTAACGGTCAAACTTTATAGTTGACTGCCATGTAGGACAAAATTAACAGAGTGTAACGGTGAGTGACTAACTGAAAAGATTCGTAAAGTTAGTGGTGAATAAGAAAGAAAAGTAATTCAAGTGGCAAACGTGAAAGTTTTATATAATTTGAGTGACCAAACATGTAATTTAGCCCTTTATAAAAACACCCCACAATATTTAAAGCATTCCACTAGTCCCATAAAACATACCACAAATCTCATAAAACACATCACAAATCCCATAAAACATACCAATCCCATAAAACATACCACAAAATACCACAAAATTTTAAAAGTCAACAACAAATCTCATAAACAAGAACACAAATTTTTAAAATCACTTGTTATACACAGTTGGCTCCAAACCTACTACATTACAGCAAAAAAGAAAAAAAAAACAATAGAAGCAAGATCCACAAATAAGGCTCGCTACACACGTATCTTCCCTTTTGGCCTTCTCTTTTCAATCGCATATTGAGTAGAAGATTGTGTTATAAATTAAAGACACTGGCAGTGGTTGGCTTCAGATTGTGATTTGATTTTCGAGCGGATCCGGCGGGATTAATAATGGATTGAGGTTGCGAGAGGAAAATAATGGGAAGAGCATAGTGCATTGTCGTCAGGAACTGGCCGGCGGCGGCAATCTCACGTACATCGGCCGTCACTCGGAGGAGGAGAGAGATAGGGACTTGAGGGAGATCTTCTTCAGGCCGAGTCGCTTGTGTCGGCGGCCGAGCGGATTGGTTGAGTGGACGGAATCCCATGGAGCGCTCTCTCGCTAGACTACTCACAGGCTGCATGTTGGGCTGCCACTTCCGCTTGACGAAGGTGGTGTTGGCTTTTATGCGACTGCCGTCGGGACTAGAGATGTTGAAATGAAGGAGCATTCAGTCGCCTATCCTACACCCTCCCGTGGCGGCCAACAATTCGAGATTAAGTCGGCCCTCGTGACAATGATTCAGAATAATGTTTTATTCCATGGGCTCAAAAGTGAATCACCGAGGGAGAACGTGCAACGATTTCTTGAGCTCGCGGAGAGTTTGAAGATTAATGGCGTGCCGGCGGAAGCTTTACAACTAAATCTTTTCCCTTACTCACTTGCGAGGAAGGCAGTTAGATGGCTCAACAACCGGCCACCTCGTTCAATTACCTCGTGGGATGATCTTCTCAACAAATTTATGACCCGCTATTGCCCGCCTACGAAGACGACCAAATGGAGAAAGAAGATCACCCATTTCGAGAAGAGTTAAGATGAAACCTTGAGGGATGCTTGGGAGAGATTCTCCGATTATTTTCTTCAATGCCCTCACCACGTGTTCGAAGAACAATTCTGGATTGAAACTTTCTACGGAGGGCTCATACATGAAGACAAGATCCTCATTGATTCTCTTTGTCAAGGGAGGCTAATGAATATGACCCGCCACAAGTGGCCCAATTGTTAGAAGATATGGCCCTCAAAGGTTATGATTGGGGTTTGACGAGAATAGGGAAGAGAAGGAATGAAAGAGGAGTAAGAAGTGTGGGAGCGAGTGCTCTGCTCGAGGCAAAACTCGATAAGTTGATCAAGGTAATTCTCGAGGATAAGAAGCACGGTAAGAGAGCGATGTTGTCGTGCTATTGGTGTTCAAGCACGAGCCATGAGTTGGCAGATTGTCAAGCAATGAAGGAAGCAAGCACTCCAGAGGAACAATTCAATTTCGTTGCAGTGCTAGGGAGGGGGAACAACCCGTACAGCAATACCTATAACCCCGTGTGGAGAAATAATCCTAACTTTGCTTGGTCATCCCGACAAATCTGTGACCCCCCTCTTTCCAAGGCACTACGGGAAATTACCAACCTCGGCCAACTTTCATTCAACAGAGGCTGCAATTTCAAGGCTCGAACTTCCAACAACCTTATCAAGTACAAGGTGGACATGGGTTTCAACAACAACAACAACAACCCGACAAGCTATCCAAAATTGTAAACCTTGTGAATACCTTTGTGAGCACGAGTGCTTTGAAGTTCGAGAAGATCGAGCAATTTAAGGACGTGGCAACTACCAAGTTTACCTTGGTTGAGGCGGGAATCTGAAGCCATAAAGCAAGCCTTCAAACTTTGGTGGTGAAAATCGGCAATCTTGCCGGGATCCTCACCGAGAGACCAAAGGGAGCCCTACCCTTTCAAACCATTGCCAACCTCTAAGATCAAGCCGGGTGCAATACTTGAGAAGCGGGAAGGTGACTCCGGGAATTGTTGCTAATGGAGTGATCGAGAAGGAAGACTCCAACCCCAAGGATTGAGATGAAGAATCCTCGAAGGTAGAGAAAGAAGTGACAAGGAAGACATTGCCAACACCATCTCCGGTGGCTGAGTACAACCCACCTCTTCCTTTCCCCACAAGGATGTACAAGGAGAGGTTGGAAGCGGAAATGTGGGGGCTTCATGGAGATGCTTCGAAATCTCCACCTCAACATCCCCTTCCTCGAAGATATGGCTCACATGCCAAGGTACGCAAAGCACCTGAAAGGATTCCTCGCCAAGAAACCAAAGTTTTAAGACCTCGCCAATGTGACTCTAGGCTAGGAGTGATCGGCCTTCATCCTCAACCGGTTGCCCAAGAAGCGACCTGATCCTAGTAGCTTCACTATCCCTCTTAGCATTGGTAACCATCACATAGAAAATGCCTTGGAGGATTTAGGAGCAAGTGTGAATGTGATGCCCTATAAGCTATTCAAAAGGCTAGACCTAGGTGAACTCAAGACCACTAAGCTTAGTGTCACATTAGCCGACCGCTCGGTCATTGATCCTAGGGGCATTGTGGAGGACGTGCTAGTACGAGTGGGCAAGTTTTGCTATCCGACGAATTTTGTGATTCTTGATATAAGTGAGGAATCGGATATGCCACTCATACTAGATCGTACCTTACTTGCCATCGCCAAGGAATTCATTGATGTTAATGAGGGGACCTTGATTCTGAGAGATGGTGAGGGGGAAGATGAAGCAAGCTTTAGCCCACAAGAAGAAGAAGGGAAAAGCTAAGGTAGTCGGCCAAGAAGGCCACCCCATAAAGCTAAGTTGGGAGGCTACATGCCTCACCCCGAGAACATGGCGGATCCGCTCTCAGTGGCATCGTGTTCCAAAGCATGATAGATCCACAACGCCAAGCTAGTGACGTTAACCTAGCGCTTGTTGGGAGGCAACCCAACAGAGGTTTTGTTTCTTTTTCTTGTTTTTGTGTTTGTGTTTGTGTTGAAAGAAGAGTTCAAGTGGTCGAGTGGTATCCCCTTCCAAGTTTTGTGGTTTTGCGTTTTAAGGTTGTGTTGTGATCGTTAGGTGGCACGGTGGAATAGGTCGAGTCAAACTTTCTCAGAAGTGACCTATTTTCACTCGAGTTCACGGACGAATTTGAGTGTTCACGGTCTTACAAGATCGTGAACCAGGCACTTCTGCATGTGAACCACCTGTCGACCAACCCCAGTTCACGGACGGACTTGAGTGTTCACGATCTCTAAGACCGTGAACAAGCCAACCTGTCCGTGAACGCTGTGCTTCGCCTATAAAAGGGGCGTGAACGGCGAACTCTTCACTTCACGACCCAAATCTCGTCGGAAAATTCAAATTCTCGTCGGAAAACCGTGAAAATACGACGGTTTTTCATTTTTTCACCCATTTCCGGCGAGCAAAACCCAAAACCAATTGCATACCCATTCTCCCCACATCAAAACTGGCCTGTGCTGCAATTTTGGGGAGATTTGAGAATTTTTTTTGCAAGGTTGCCTGACACGCCTGTACTGTCACACTAGAAAGTGGCCAAGTATAACCACCTACTAATGCGTAGTATAGCGAGTTTCGATTTAAATGTCAACCCTGGTCCTAGGTGTGATGACTACTCCGTGAAAATCTTATTATTTAGCGGTTCAAGTGTAGTGAAGGTCTAACTAAACTAGCAAGCAAGAGTAGTGAAAGTTGTGTTCAAAGTTGAGAGAGGTCACCCAGATATGGTTCCCCCTAGACTACAGTTAAGCCAGGTTGTAATTCGCCAAGTTCAAGTTCAATGATAGTTATACTGCGGGAGGTTCTTAGATAGTCTGCAGTCTCGACTAAAGGTCTCCAGACCCTCTCAATCTGAGTCCCCAGCGGGCGACTAACGTCCACCGGAGTAAACAGATTGAGGCCCTAACATACCGAATCTCCTCTACTAGAGTAAATCCAATACAGAATAGTGAATTGACTTCTCGACTAAAGCCGCCAATTCACTACCTTAAATCACGGGTGCTCTATCAACCTAGGCAGATATTCTCTTTCTAGGTCAAAGCAGGAATAACGTGAATTTGATCAGGATTCATGCAATTTAGAAAATCAAACCTCAATTGAATATAATCAATATCAATGAATTTGTACTTGGGTTAATACAATCAGACCTCACATACAAATCTAGGGTTCTTCATACCCAGGTGAGTGAGAGAGTTTACTCCATAGAGAGAGAAGGAAAATCTAGCTCAGATGCAAAAAACATGCTGTGAAAGATGAGATTCTGCTTTTGGTAATCAATCGGCACTTCTCCAAACTTAAGCTGAGCACCAATGGTGATAACAATCGATCTAGGGCGCTTGGAGACTCTGGTTCGTCACTCTTTCTCTCTCTAGGTATCTGCTTTCTTTCTCTAAAATTCCGAACCCTTCAAAAATTGGTCTTCTTTCCCTCAAAAGGAAGCAGAATACGATCCCCGGCCATAATACCCGGTCAGATATTTCAGGTGCCCGGTCGGGTATTTCAAAATGTTGCGCAATGGAATGAGGGATAATACCCGATCGAGGTCCAGAATACCCGATCGGGTATTTTAGCTCCACGGCCAGGACCGCTTTTAGGATTCTGGCGTCCAAAACGCTTTACCCGGTCGGGTATTTCAAGTGCTGACCGGGTATTTTTGTTCTCGAGCCTCGTGCAGGGGAAAGGAATGTAAGGGGGCTGGAGGTAGTAGGTGGAAATTGGGAACGTTATTTTAAAGCACATTTTTAAGCACCTTTTTTTTAAAACATGATACAAGATTCCATGACAGGTAGAAAGTCCCCAACCCCACACAATTCAAGGGTCCTAGGATCAGTAATTCACACAATCAACAAACACATTATGAAGAAGAGAGGAGACGCCTTAAATGCATCAACATCCTCCATAGTGCTACAATACCTCTCTAGGTTGCATATTACTATAGAGACTGTCCATTCAAAGCATACTAAGCTGGCAATTTGCAAGGAACATGTACTTGGAGCCCTCAAATCGAAATTTGGACAGTGGACTAGGCTCTAAGCACACAAAAAGATCTAAGCAGTCAAATAGAAACACCCCCCCCCCCCCCCCCCCCCCCACACACACACACTTAAGTTAGACATTGCCCTCAATGGAGAAGAGGGAAGGATAAGGGGAACGTTGTTACCGGTATGCTCAGACTGGAGGGGGACTGGAAGGTGGACCAGTCAGGAGTGAAGCGGACTGGTGATAGCGATGTATTTGCACATGTTTTCACCCTTGTTTCTTAACCATTTTGGCTCAAACTTGTGGTTTCTTGGCCTATTTTACGCTAGGTTGTGTTCCTTTATCACATTTCAGGTCCTAGTATGTATATTGAAGCAAAGGCGCAAGTTTCAAGTCAATTGGAATTCATTTGGCAATTCGGGAGAAGAAACACGAGCATGACCTGAGGAAGAATGGATTTCTACCTCATATTATGGACAAATAATAATGGAATCTTGTCATGAAAAGAAAGAGAAACGAAGCATTAAACAGGAGCGGGGGAAGAAATACGGGCATCCCCTGCCCAATTACGAGCGTAATTGCCTCTGCCCTGCCCGTAAATGCAATGCCGAGCCAAAATCCTGAGAATGCCTTCGAATATCAAAATGAACTA